CCCCCGGATGCTATTTTTAACACAAAAAGGAGGACATGTCCGGGTAAATCCGGACGAATGGTAACCCTAGCTTCAGGGAAGCCAGGACTAACGCTGGGATGGTGAGAATGGAATCCAGACAGTGCCTGCTCGGAGAGTAGACTGACGTGAGCCACATCTGAAGCCGTCTGAGATGCAGGAGCATGTGCCATGCCACATATGTACATGCTGCCATGTGACCTAGTAGACGTAGACGCACCCAGGCTGTTGTCAATGGGTGTGCCAACACTTGGGTGTTTAAGTCCATCGTGGCTTTGAACCGAACATGAACAAGCACTCGAAGAAGAAATTTTGTTTCATTCTCCTGCTTGTCCTGATCAGAGACTGGGATGGATTTGATATCAGAAGACCTTAACTTTTAGTTTTAGTTATAGGTCCCTAACATCCACCAGTCCCCAATTACCTATTATTTACTTGGGTCCAGTGCAACATTAAATGGCCTCCATATCAAAAACTGTCAGGGTTGGCCCGCTTCAGCCTAACTCCTAGGCATTCAGCCTACTTCTGAATCCTCCCTCCTTCCCATGAGAGGGGACATAAGGGTACATTTGAAAGCCATCTATCTGCAGGAACTTACTGTTTCCCCTTTTTCCTCCAGGCTAAAATGGTTTACCAGTTAGCTCAGAGTTTTCTTCTGTTTATCTCTGGGAACTGGCCATTTTGAGCCTCATCCCTGCACTGGACACCAAGGGTGCCAGCAAATAGCTTAGCCATAAAGCCAAGCCCACTGCCCAATCTCCTTGCTTGGGAGAACTTAGAGGTTGGACCATACATTGTCCAGTGTCTGATAAATGTGCCCATCTTCCCTATTCGAAATACAGGAACAACATACCTGATTTTCCTATATTAAAATCACCAGTGCCCAGATCCACAAAGGAATCTGCGTATCTAAGTCCCAATTTTAGGCACCAATGGGATTCACAACCTGCACCCCATCCCTGCATTGCACCTAAGCTTCTGCTGTAAAAATTCCCTAGGTGCTTACGTTTATGCCTCTGAGCACATGCACTGCTGCCTTGCTCTAAACATCCAGATGCCTATCCCCAGTGTGATCCACAAAGCCAGGGGAAAAATAGGCATTTATCTGCCTCTCTCATCCGTGGGGCCCAATCCGGTATATGTGTTCAGAGCATGCCTACCAAATCGGTCCCCAGTCAAAATCCTGCCAGAGGAAGAGGAGTAGGTGGTTGTACCTTCCTTAAACTTTTAGACCAGTGCTTAGAAGGCTCATTTGGGATGTGGGACACCTGGGTTCAATTCCCCCACCTGATGGGAAGAAGAGACTTGAAGAGGGGTTTTTCCCACCTCTCAGGAGAGTGCCCTAACCACTGCGCTATGGGATATTCTGATGTGGTCCTCCATCAGTCTCCTAACTGAAGCTGGTGTGCTTTAAACAGTCATTAGAGCAAGGGGACTGGACCTTAGGTGTTCCACCTCTCAGGTGGGCACCCTACCCATCAGGATACAGAGTCACTCACTCACTCTCAGACCCAGTGAATTATGGATCACATTTTCATATATCTAAAGCTATAAGACATTTTTCTGCAAGATAATTTGAGAAAAATCCTGCCAAGCTGCACATACACAACTCAATTTAGAGCAATATGTGACTTGTGGGCAGAATTTGGCCCTATCTTTTTTCATAGGTATCTCTTAATTACATGTCAAGCGATAAACAATTCAAGATACATTTAAAAAAAAAAGCCTTACCAGGTCATTGCTAAGAACTGGAGTATGCAGAACAGCAGGGCCAAACCTTTCTTACCCCACTAAAACAAAAGAAACACTGCAGATTAAAATTGATTTGTACAAAATAATTTAATTTATTAACTAGAAGTACTAGCCTACTTAATCCAGTTCACTTCAAAACCTTAGCTGATCCATGATGGTCAATCTCCTTAGTTATGAAGGTCTAGGAGCTTAAACAGATCTCCTTCCCCTTTGCAAGAACTATAATCAATTGTTAGAATATCATTCCAACTGAAGAGATTTAAGTCTTCCCTAGTTCTGAAACTCTTCAGAACAAAGAATTCCAACTACCAAACTACTATCTCCTTCATATTCACGATCCATATTTGATCTGTACAACATTACAGTGTATAGTATCAAAGGGGTAGCCGTGTTAGTCTGGATCTGTAAAAGCTGCAAAGAGTCCTGTGGCACCTTATAGACTAACAGACGTATTGGAGCATGAGCTTTCGTGGATGAATACTCACTGCGTCAGATACATTTCTATTTTCCTTTACTCATTAAGATCTTATGTTCTGCAAGTCCTTCCCCACAATATGCAGTTGTAAGAGTGCTCTTGCTCTGTAGCCAAGATGCTCAATGCCATCCATCAACTAAATGCAATTCAAACACCAACGTTGCACACTTCTATTAAAAGTGGAATTTTTTAAAATAATTCACAAGAACATAAGAATGGCCCTACTGGGTCAGATCAAAGGTCCATCTAGCCCAGTATCCTGTCTTCTGACAGTGGACAGTGCCAGGTGCCCCAGAGGGAATGAACAGAACAGGTAATCATCAAGTGATCCATCCCCTGTCGCTCATTCCCAGCTTCTGGCAAACAGAGGCTAGGGACACCATTCCTGCCCAAGATCATCTATTCCTCTGACTTCATTGAACTTTAGTGATACAGTCCCTGAACTGCTCTTAAACATTAGATGAACCAAAGAGTGTTACCACAGCCCAAAACCTAGCCAAACCAGCTTGCTCTTAAGAGGCACAAAAAGGATTTGAGTTAATATCACTTACCCAGAATACAGCACACAGAGTGAATATCAAACACAACTGAGGAAAAAGAAAAATCAATATGTATAGTGTGCAAATATCCAATCAAGCAAATAGTTCATATATGTTCTCAATAAGTCATCAGCATTTTCAAATGCATTATCTGTAATAAGGAAATCCATAGGCTTTTCTAATATGAACAGTCTGAACTTAATCCTGAGAATTAATGCCATAAACAGCATCACTGTGAATCTAGAATTCACAATATCCATCTTCTGACAAAACCGGCACTAGCATTATGATGGACAATCCACTGTTAAAAACATCCGTTCACAATTATTGTATTTGGCAAATACAGACTTGGTTTCTGCCAATGTTTTTGTCTTCCAGCAATAGTGAGAAGAGGCCCACTAGGGAGCAGCTGTTTTGTATTCAATAAAAAAAAAAAAAGCTCAGACAAAACTTTATTCAAGCTACTCATGTGGCTCTTTGTTATTTCCCATCAGTTGCCAGTTTGCATTTTAATAGGACAAAGGAGGGATGCCAAGTATATTTAGCTTCAGTATCTTGCAATATGTGATTCCAAACAGCATAAAGGCCAAATTTATGAACAGAGTAATTTGTTTTTCTAATTAAAATCCCAGGAGATTTGCGATTGTAAGTACAGAGTTGTTAATTGAAAAGTAGGATTTCCCTTCAGGGCAGAGTATGGGCCATGAAGAACCTAAAGTTTCTTGCTAGAAATACTGTCAGTCTCTATAATGCACAGTTTTTCTTGCATGTTTTACACATTTATGCTTTCCAACTACCCTTTCTTCATGATACACCTTTCCTTGGTGTAACATTACAACTAAGCGATTAAAAATGAAATAGTTTATAATCCCAGATTAGTCTCAGAATTTATCAAGTATAAAATGCAGAAATATACAGTTAACCATTGCCTTGAGTTCCTCATCCAACTAATCATCTGGTTTCTGTCCTCTTCACTCCACTGAAACTCTGTGCTCAAAGTTTCTAAGAGCTTGTCTACATGAATACTTGCTTCCCAGCAAACTGGAGCGCCAACTTTTCAAACTGCCAAGGGATACTCGACCCCAGGCTCTTCCCCATGCCCTGCCCCCACTTCACTCCTTCCCCCAAGGCCCCATCCCACGCAGTTCCGCCCCCTTTCCCGAGTGAGCTGCATCCCCGCTCCTCCCCCGTCCTTCTCAGCCTTCCAGAACACCATGAAACAGCTGTTCGTGGCGAGCAGGAGGCGGGGAGAGGGAGGGGGAAGTGCTGATCGTGGGGCCGCTAGCTGCAGGTGGGTGCTCAGCACCCACTATTTTTTCCCCCCCCCATGGTGCTCCAGCCCCAGAGCACCTACAAAGTCAGCACCTATAGCCTGGCCCAGGGGAGTGGGGTTAGGGTGCGGGGGGCACTAGGACAGTGTAGGCTTTAGCAGATGTTACTGTGCCTGCTCAGTTTGGGTGAGTCTGCTCAGTACAACCTAGACAGGAAATTCTGCCAGGGAGCTGTTTGTGTCACTTCGCCAGCCCAGGCAGGGGGAGAGCATCCCGGCTGATTTGTCCCGTAGGGACAGCCCTGACTGACCCCATATTAGCCTGCTGGGTTTTTAAAAAAAACAAAGAGAAAAAACAAATTCCATCATGTGGCATCATATTTACACCCACATGGGTCATAAACAGGATTGGAACCTTTAGTTCTACTACACAGACCTTTACCACTTGTGTTGGTAGGCTGTTATCCACTATGTGGACCAGCAGATTGAAGGGGGGATTTGGGGGTGTGGGGGAAGAGAGAAGAGAAGAGGGAGGGAAAAAGATGAGACTGCCAGTGAGTTTCATAGATATTTGCTGACAGTAGAAGAATGGTGAGACTCAAGATTCCAGAGTTCCATTCCAGGTGCCTGAGCGGAGTGTACTCTAGTTGGTCCCTGGAAGCTTAGCTCCTTCTGCCCAGTCCCCTCCAACCTGTCCCAGTCCTGTCTCTTCCCCACCCTGGCTTTTCAATCCTAGTTCCACTCTCCCTGCCCAGCCATTGCCAGGTCGATCCCCCACTCCGACCCACCACAGCTCCTTGTCCCAGTCTTTTTGCCCAGCCAGGCCCCGTTCTCCTCCTATACCCTGACTCATCATCAGATATGTTTCCCATCACCCTGCAGTGTGGCTCTCGTCCCCGTTGCATTATATCGGGCAGCTCCCTCCTCTAGGCTTCCTGAGCCTAGCAGAGGGCACTGAGAGCACAGGAGCATCTCCCTTCTCTTAGTTCCAGTGCCCTGCCACAGCTCAGAGCTACAAATGCAGAGAAATTTCTGCTCAGCCCTAGGCTGAATTTAGCTATGATGCTCTAGCAAGTCTCCACTGACCACAAGCACTGTGAGATTTCTCAAAGTTTTATAACCGGGCCAATTTTTTTTTTTTTTGGGGGGGGGGGGGGAACAAGGAAGGCAAAAGGCACACCCTAACACAAAGGAAACCTGGCAAATTTCAGGTACCTGCTCCAATGCATGCAGGCGCTAAAGCCTTTCAAAGGAAAGATCAGATTTTTTTTTTTGTTAAAGACCAAACAAAAAACAACACCACCCTATTTTTCCTAGCCTCGGTCTCAAACAGCTGAACTGTTTTAGGTGAATGATTAAAGTTTGGCAAAATTTATGAGCAACTGAAAATAGAATCTTATAATGAGAAGTGTCAGGCAATATTGAAATATGGTGTTACCAGTCCAGCACCTAATAATCCAATAAAAACTTAATGTGCATCCAGGCAATACTTCTTCCTGGCCAAAGCCTCAGATTTGCTTCCTCCCCCACCCCATGCAGTAAGATTTTAAAAAAAAAAAAAAGTAGTAAATGTAGTTTACCAGCATAACAATTGTAGCAATTAATCTTGTTGGCTCAAACATTTTTTTCAGCTGCTTCACAGGCCCCATCAAGAAACACGTACTAATGAAATAAGGAAGAAACAGTAAGTCACATTCAATTAATCTTTGCAAATTATCAAAATAGGTAATTTATAGAGCCATCCAATATTTAAGCTAGAGAAAGGCACCACACTTCAACAACAGCTACTGATAGGGTCAAAGATTAATACTCTTTATATGTTTGTCCTGGCAATCAGCCTACACGTGTATCTGCTCCTCATTTCCTTCCAAAAGATTCCTAGATATATCGAAGGGACACAAGTTTGAGTCTAGTCTATCTAGGACTATCTCAAAATGAAATTCACCAGAATTGAAGAAACCTGAAGGATTCTAAGTAGGAAGATTTGTCAGGTTGAGTATGACAAACGCCAAACCTGTAGAGAACTTAAATGTTCATTTAAAAGTAATAGTTTCTCGCCCTAACAGTTGCAAAAAAACCTCAAACCTCAACTGAGCTGCCAGGCAGGGAAAGTATCTGCTGCTATTACACAGTCAAACCTGCAGGGGAACACCATTCTTTGTGCCTGAGCTCACCACCAGATCAAGTAGAGGAACAGCTGCAGCAGCCTTTGCTGAATCCTCCAGCCTTCCTCTACCCCGTGCCTAAAACTGAAGGGCAATGAAGGTTAGCAGCTCTTCTGAACTTCTCCTCCCTAGGCCAGGTCTGCTCCTTCCTCATGTTGTCTGGCAGAGGACAGGGTCAGAATAATCCTGTTCTGCCACTCTGCAGCTGGACTCAGCCTTCTCCTCCTAGATATAGGCAGGAAACAGAAGCTATCCAAGATCTTTCTTCTCCAGAGAGGGGCCAAAGATTTCATCTGCTCCAATAGCCTCTCTCTAAACAAGGGTGGTGTTAGAAAAGAAAGCCCCATCCCTCCCTGGAAAATTAGGTCATGGGACTTGTATGCTGAGTTGCCAGGAAAAGTAGTGAGGTATCTGCTATTCACAGAAAACATGAGATCTGAAATAAAGGTACTGAAGGCTGCATGAAAAGGCACTACTGAAATTTCATGGGAGCAAAGAGGAGAGCAGATGAAAGAAGGAAAAAAAACCCTGAAGAACTGATGAGGTGGGGTGAATGGCAAATAGAGTGGTGTCAGAGTTGAGAGTGACACGATGTCTAAGCAAACAGCGTGGGGTGTTTGTGAGGAACATGTGTGGTGATAGATGTGAACACATATCCAGAGATAGGAGAATGAATCCAGGGATCGTGATGGAAGAAAGGGTCTGAGGCCCTTCTCATCTGCAAGAGAATCAGGCCCTAGTTAAGTGTGTTTCCAATATGGGGTTTTATTTGGGGGGATGGGAGGGAAAGAGAAGAGGTAGATTGAACGTGTTGATTATGGGAATGACAGGCTAGTAGATTTTAGCACAATGTGATAACCGAAAAATATAACCCCAAACATCCTTGTAAAACTGTCTAAAGCAACTTGAGACTATATGTGCCCTTGCATCCCCCCGTGCCAATTTACAGTTTGAGTTGTATCTTCCCCATGTTTTAAATGTTTCTCACCCTTTCAGCTGTGTGAAAGTGCCATACAAAGTGGAGGAAGAGTAAAAATACAAAAGTAAACTGAGAAAAAGACAAGCGAATTTCCTCCTAATCTAAGGTACCGCTTTAAGAGAGCAGTAAGAGCCCAGATAAGAGTGTGATTTTTAATTTGTCAATGTTCTTTAAAAGAAATAAAAGAATCCTGGAATTCATTCATCTTGGTTCACAGGGAATTAGTATTACTCATTAGTGTTAACAGCAGTCAATGAGATTTTTCTCCCTTCAGCATATTAATTTTGTTTATGTAGTTTAAAAGTGTAGTTTAGAAGCAATGCAACAGGAACAATACAGTAAATGCCTAAACTCTACTGAAAGATTTGGGTATACTGAGAAGTTTCAGAACATTGGGTAATGAGAGATGTCATCTGTGCTGCAATACCTAGATTTAAGAGCAGAATAATGAGCTTGATGTCACTACAAGACAACTTGTGCATTAGGTAATTAGGGCTATAGTTAGTACTAGAGTAACTATTCTGCATTGTTTTATGTTTATCATTACACAGTTACAGTACAAGACCAAGAAATTAAGTATTACCCCGTGTACTTAATTTCTTGTGTTGTTTCCTACCTAAGAGGAAATATGGTTTGTCTCATTGTCTCAGGATATGTTTTCAGTGCTCCAAATTAAATTAGCTATTTGACTGCTTGGTCTTTAAAAAGGTCATTTCAATCTTATATTGACCTCCTTACACCTCATGTATACATGTCATTGCCATTAGTTCCGTTGCAGACAGATGCCTTGATCTGTTGCTGAGGACAAGTAATAGTTAACGCTAAGTTTTAGTCAGGGGTATTTTTAGTAAAAGTCATGGACAGGTCACAGGCAGTAAACAAAAATTCACGGATCCCTGACCTGTCCATGACTTTTACTAAAAATACCCCTGACTAAAACTTGGGGGGGGGGGGCGC